TGCTTTTAGGACTCTTTACAAGTGCCATACAAGCACTCATTTTTGCTACTTTAGCAGCTGCATATATTGGAGAATCTGGTGGTCCTCAGGGATTAGCTGGCACCGACTGCCTGGGTAGCGTGGTGAGTGGCATGCTGTGAGGAGGTTTGCCATAACACTGGGTTCGCTGCCCTGAAATCTGGAAATTAAATTAAAAGAATCAAAGTTCGACAAGTATTTTTTTTTTTTTTTTTCTAAAGGGCAGTGGTCTTGAGGTATCATCATGGAACTGTCCTGGAAATTAGATTAAAAGAATCAAAATTCGACAAGCAATTCTTTTTTTTTTCTGAAGGGCGATGGTCTTGAGGTATCATCATGGAACTGTCCAGCCCCAGCAATTCGGAATCATGTCGCCCGTCTGATTCCGCCGTCACGATTCGAACTCAGGTCTGTTTATAACCATGTGTGGGTGTACCGCTCAGCCACATGGGGTGGGTTCAAAAATGAAAATAAAATTAAAATTAAAGAATGATTTTCGATTTGCATGAAATTATAAATTCAGGAAATAAGATTTTGGAGTAGCTTCCCTGCCAAATATTGCTTGGAATTTTTTTTTTCTTCTGCTTCATCACCGTCGTCATGTAGTTTTGTTAGGGTGAAGTTTTTTTTCCTTCTCTTTTTTTTTTTCGTTTTTTTTAATAAGAGGCCGATTCTTTTAATCCCAACCAATTCAATTGCCTGTCAAATCTGGACGGCACGGCCTTCCAGGCCGTTTTATTATCACGTTATAGTATTACGGGGAACCCCGTAGCAGCCAGCCCGAGACCTACAACGAGGGAGCATGCATGGTGGGCGATACCATTCAGGGGTCAGCTGGTAGCATCAGGACCGAGCTTGGTCGATGGGCCAGTCGCTGTGCCTCCCCTTCGGTCCCCTCTCCCTACGAACAGCTCAATGCTGCTCAGGGGAACTGATAACCTTCTCTGGGTGGCGGGCACCAAGCTTTCCCAGTAAGGGCACATGAGGGCAGTGGGGATTGAACCCAAGCCCTGCTGAATGCCCCACGTGCACGCCTTACCAACTGACCTAGGCACCCGGATCGACCTTCTTTTTTGAGAGGACATTTAAAGTTTGCAACACTAAGATGTAATTACGAGGACTTCTCACCTCGTGCAGTGGGCACGGTGCATCAGCATGGTGCATGCATCTGCAGCATTTTTGTTTTTGTCAATCCATATTGTATTACTTCTTTTTTTTTTGCATTTGGATCGAGTCCACACCCGTTCAATCGCTGATAAACCAGCCAGAGGGAAAAAGAAAACCGACCAGCCAGTTGTGGTCAAACACTGATAAACCAGCCAGAGGTGCCTGTGCCAAAATTCTCCAGTAATTGCGAGAGATCACGTGTTTCCCGCGCCCAAGGAAGGAAGAATGAAACCTGTTTGATTTTCCAGCTGGCGGGGTCCGCATCCAAAAAA